ATTCCCCTGAGTGACTGTTTCCATTCTCCTGAGTGACACCTTGTTGACTGACAGTTTTTCTTTACAACAAATTTGGTAATTAGCTGTCCTCGTGGGATCGACCTAGCTTCCATTATCTACAAAACTCATAACCCAAGCTAGTAATATTTATCTCTTTTTTTTTTTTGGTGAACTCGGCAAGCACCAGCTACACAGGAAAAAAACTTCAACAATTAAAGCTGGGAGGGAATTGGAGTAAACTCCTTCATGATAATACGATTGCACCTGGAAGTGAATGTCAATTTGTTTTGGACATTGAAAGTGTCAAAACGAAGAGAAAAGACATCGCTTTTATTTTGATCGTTTGATCTATAGTTCGCTAATTGTATAATTTTCAATTTTTATGGTTTATTTTATTTGTTACTTAAATAAAACATTTTTTAAATTGTTAATGTTGCCGTCGTCATTTTTTTGTTTTTTTGCATCTTACTTTAAATTTAAAATAGAACATTTTTTTTACAACCTACCTTGACGGGGATAATTCATTTTTTTAAAAATAAATAGGAGGTTTAGAAAGGAGCTTAGGTTCTAACTGTATCAAAAACACTCAAGGGGTCTACCGAAGAGATGAGTTTTTGAATCAGTTATAGCCAAATGATATAATGCACCCACGGGGTCTACCCGAGGGATGGACATATACATCATTCAGTTCCTCAGCTTCTCCCTACCTCTGTTTTAGTAAATTTCATTAATAGAAAAAATCTGGAAGTGCTTAAGACTTGCCATGTTACAAAACTATTTGAGCCTAACTCGTACATATGGAAATGAAATTTGATCTAAACGAACTAGACCGCGAGTATGCCTTGGCAATTCTCGGAATCTAGTATACATGCAAGATTGCCCTTGTGATCCTTGACCGGCCAAGCTGTCCGCCACTGAGTTTGCTTCACAAAAAATATGAGAAACTGAGTATGAACGCCTCTCCATAATACTATGAATCTCCATAATTTGAAAGTAATATTTCCATGGGATCAAATTTAGATTCCTCAAAAGATCAGCCAGCACCTTGTTGTCTGTTTGAATGTCAACGTGCTCCAAATTGAGATGATCACATTTTCGAACACCAAAAAGCAGCCCATAAACCTCAGCTCCAAAGCTGTCACACGCACCAACATACCCATGCTCTCCATACAGGAAGTTCCCACCAAAGCACCTAATGACAAAACCATAGCAAGAATCTTCATTAGTAGCCGACCCATCAGTATTGAGAATAAAGCCTTCATTGCTCCGCGACTTCCAACAAACCGAGATACAAGTCCTTCTTTGAACTTTTTGTAATTTTACACCAAATGCATCATCAATGAATTCCCTTTCCTCCACATTCCTAGTCTTCAAATCATGTACAAATAAAACGTTCCGAATTGAGATAGTTATTTCATGAATAACTCTCCCCTTCTCAAACGGAATACCATCAAAGAATATTTTGTTCCTAGCTTTCCAAACTTCCCAAAGAATAAAAGAAGGGAGTATTCGAATGAGAGATTGTTTTGCCGAGAAAAAGCCACCCGAACTCCACCACATATGTAACAAATCAAGCAATGTGGCCATGGCTTCAATTTGAAGATAAAATAGATTGGCAAAATGCACCCAAATACATTTGATTTCCGGGCAGCCAAAGAAGCAATGTGATATATTCTCTTCATGCATTCTACAAAACAAACAAATAGAGGGCCGAACCTGGATACTGAATTTGGATAAGATCTCTGGAAGTGGCACCAACAAATTTCTGAGCTTCCAAACAAAAAACGACACCCTTAGAGGAATCAATTTATGCCAAAAAATTTTAGCCAACAAGTCACCACTGGATTCCTTCTCCTCAGGCTCAAGAATGCCGACTTTATTGAAAAATTACCACTAGATGAATGCTGCCAAACAAGCAAATCAGGTTCGCCGGTGAGAGGGATATCTATGTCGCGCAACAGTTGGACCTTTTGCACTCCAAGCGCCCCATTCAATTCAGTCAAGAGCAAATCCTTATTAGTAAGAAAATTGCGTATGGTAAGATTTGGCATTAGAGGAGAACCATGTGTGCAATCCCAAAGCATGTCATCGGGCAGCCAATTATCAAACCAGAAAAAAATCGATCACCTCCACGGACCAAGACCTTTGAATTTTTTGTTGCCTCTTGCTCGATTTCCAAAACCCTACTCCAAGTTGTTTTTTTCTTAGCATTGTCCGAGAGCGAGCAAATAAATTTGCTCCATAATCCATATTGATGTTTAAATTTCCACCATAGCTTATATGAAAAAGCTTGCACTACATCAATAAATCGGCGCAAGCCTAGACATTTTCCTCTATTGGAAATGTTAATCTCTCCCAAGAGCACCAATGCCTTCGCTTTTCTTCACTCGAACCTTGCTACAAAAACCTTTGGCACCTTTTCTCCATTTGTTTGAGGACCGAAGCGGGAGGACTTATAGCTGAAAACACATGGAATGGTAAGGCCGCAAGTACATGTCTCAAAAGAGTAAGTCTTCCGCCCGTACTTAGCATTTTATTCTTCCAATTAGCCAGCCGAGAGTCCAGCGAATCCAATAAGAATTGGAAGGTTGAAGCCTTTTTCCTCCCCTGGAATAATTTGCAGCCTAGATATATGAAGGGAAAGGAACATTTTTGCATCCCCAAGGTATTTGTAATGATCTCTATCCGTCGCGCCCGACATGAGTCCGCAACAAGAAAAAAAACTTTTTTGGCGATTCATCTTTTGGCCTGATGCTATTTTGTAATCATTGAAAAATACATCCAATGTTCTTAGAGATCTCTTTTCTCCTCTAGTAAAGATTATCAAATTATCAGCAAAGGATAAATTTGACACCCTTAAGCTCCCGGCCGGAGTTGCATACGCTGCTAGCTTCCCTTCAAGCATCAAAAAATTTAGACACCTCGTCATTGCCTCCGCAACTAGGATAAATAAGTAAGGTGACAACGGATCACCTTGTTTTATTCTACGGATTTCCTTGAAAAATCCTGCTGGGGAGCCGTTAACCATCACCGAGAACCAACTGCATTGGAGATTATTCATAACCAACAAAACAAACCCCTGTGGAAACCCTAGCTTAAGCAAAACCTTCTCTAGAAAATTCCAAGAGACTCAGTCAAAAGCTTTCATCATGTCGACCTTTATTATCACATTATTTCCCACAGCCTTGTGAGTAACGAATTGACAAAGGTCCTGAGCCAAAACGACATTATCTATAATATCCCGCTCTTTAAGAAAAACCGACTGCTCCTCCGATATGATTTTTGGCAAAACTTTCTTCATCCTCTCAGTCAAGATTTTAGTAAAAACCTTATTCAGAAAAGTGCAAAGACTGATAGGTCTAAAATCTGAAAATGTAGAAAAGGAATGCTTCTTCGGCAACAATGTAATTAAGGTGCTAGTGATGGGGATAATTCACAATTTAGATTACTAAATAGAAAAGTTGGAATATATAACGAAGATGTCAATTATGGGAAAAATTTGTGCTGTTATTGATGGTTATCAATAATTGAATAATGCATTATAATATCCTCCTCTCAAGATATATATTTCGTTAATTTCTTGATCTTCTCAGTTACTAATTTGAATTTATTTTGTACAAAATTCAAGGAAAAGGGTTAACAAAAGTCATCATGATTTCGCTTATACAGTGATTTCAATCTCTATAAACAACTTATTGATAAATTAACTAACCACCTTTAAGTCGATGATCAATTAACCAAGCATTAACCTTAACTTTTTCAAGGAGTGTTTTTATCCCATCTAAACTATAATGGTAACTGGAAATCAATAAAATCCTATCAAAAAGGATTTTGATAATTATTTACATTATCCTCATGTCATTAATATTTAATTTTTTCCATATACATTTTAAAGCTATCACAAAGCATCATCGTTGTATCTTTACTGTTTGTGATCTTTCTGTAACTTTTATTATTATGTAAGATTAAAATTATATCTTTTCCATGTAAATTTTCCCGGTATCAGAAATAGTGATCCTTCCACAAATTTGTGATTATTTCTCCCATCCGTTTCTGTATACTGATGTGGATCATTTCTGATACTTTCAATATGACTTTCAAATTTCATATTTATCAAGTCATCGTTATCATATCAATCTTCCAGAATGTCACGAAATCAAAAGTAAAAATCACATCGCCAATGATCCTTGCCATATTTTTAATCACAGTTTAACTTCATTCATTAATTTCCCATGAATTACGCACTAATTTATAATTCGAAATTTGTTTATCTTTAAGCATTCATGTAATCTACATACGTTACGGGATAATTAGTATTTTTAAAATTGTTTTGCTCCTTTAAATTCTGGATACATATTTCACGTATATCTGTTCTTAATATGTCTATATATACCTTATGTAAATTTCGATATGTCCACCATGGAAACTACCATCCGCATGTTATTTATATATTTATTAATATTAATTTATTATTTATTATATATATTTATATATATTACTGATCATATAGAATAGATAATAAGATATTAAATTAGACTTATAATTACCGTATGAAACTACCTTCATCTTAATTAAATAATTAAATAATTGCCAAAATTGCATAATTGATATACAATACAAATTTGAAGTATTTCAAATATAATATGAAACTACCTTCTGAATGTAGTCCAAATTTACATTTATGATTCACTTAGATAACTATCGTTCTACTTATCGTTTTCATTAGAGATCATATAAGATAGATAAGATACTAACTAAGAATCAAAATTTGATCCCGTGTAATTAACTAATTGATATACTCCCATATTTAAATTGAATTTAAATTTAGTTTCGCGCCTCAAAACATTATAAACTCTAATACGTCCTTTACGCTAAATCTCCTTCTATATAAACCGTACGCTTAGTTTCCCCAACACCTCCTCACCTATTCATGTTAATACACACTCTTATAGCAGATCATTAAAATTTATTCTTTTCTTTCCCTCTTTTGTTCTCTTACAATGGCTCAAGCTAGGAGGATAAATTCTGTCAAAGAATTGAACGGAAGTACCGGATGTGGAGGGCTGATTAATGTCAAGTTGTGCAAGTTGTGGGATCGCCATCATTTTAAAACTTGGGACAGAGTTGAGAGTCGTGAAATGCTTCTTATGGATTCAAACGTAAGCTCCTATACTTTGTTGTCACCGTTAATTAATATTGAGATACATACATGTTTTTGTTCGATAAATAAAAATTAATAGATTTTTTTCGCAATTTTTTCTTAACTCAGAGTGACAGAATTGTTGCTGGGGTCCATCGTGACTACTTTCATCGTTTCAACGAAAAGCTCATTGAAGGAACTTCTTTATTGATCTCTAACATCGGATGTGCAAAAAACAGAGAGAGATTCAAGCAGTGCAAACATGTTTTCCGGATTAAATATGATGAGCGTACAACAATCGAACTAGGCCCGTATGTTGACACTACGAATTTTGGAGGAATCCATGGCTTTGATTTTGTCAGTTTCAACTATATCAATGCCACAAAAGATTTATCCAAATTAGTAGGTATGCATTTTTTCGTATTATTAAATAAATGATGAAGTTTTTTTCCATGATGAAGTGATAAAATATATGTTGATTTAATTGGTTTTGTTTATTGATTGTTTATTTTTAAAGACGTAATAGGGCAGATCAAAACAACGAGTGGTCTGACAATGAAAATGGCAAGAGGTCGAAATCAACATCATATGGAATTGCACATTATGAATGAAAGGTAAGGATAATTTACATTACTGATTTTTCCAGGTTCTATATCAATTTCAACTCACACTAATTAGTTACGTTAAATGTTGCAGTGCTGAAATTCTGAAGTGCACCCTATGGGGTGATCATGCATTAAAGGTCCAAAATCATATCGATGCAACTGGATCAATCCGAGCCATTGTAATCATCAGCAATGTAATGATTAATGCATAAGACGGTATTTACCTAATTAGACATTGTTTTACGTTTATTATTGTATTTTTTTTTTTCATAAAAATTCAAACAAATATTTTTTTTTACAACAGATACTAGAAGAATTCAGAATTCCTTATGGAGTACTAATGTTTATCTAAATGAAGAGTTGATAGAAATTGTTGACTTCAGGCAAAGGTACACTGTCATTGTACAACGTAATATTTTTCCTTCATATCTCAAAGTTCATTAACAAATCCATTTATGTGTATGTATTGTTTGTAAACAGAATTACTTGTACTGCTGGATTTGATGAAAATGCGAAGATTGATGTGCTTCAGGAACAATTGATGATGTCATCACATGGCATAAAATCACCATTGAAGAGTTGTCGACTATAACTACAGTAAGTGCGGATTTAATTATATAACTATTTTGTTACACACAGGTTTAATTTGTATAAATTCTCTTTTTTTTTAGCCAAGGTCAAACTATGCACTTATTGCCACTATTGAGGCTCTTGATCCGGATTTTGGATGGTATTATATTGGTTGCCGCAAATGTCACAAATCTGTAAAGGAGAGGCTGTTCCAATTGCTATGGTAAAAATTGAAGGCGAAACATCGTCTAAGAAGTCAAGGTCACAAATTCCTTCAAAGAAGGTGTTTCATTGTGAGACCAAAGGCTGCCCTAAACCAATAACCACAGCAAGTCCGAGGTACATTCAAATTAAAAAATGAATGTTTAAATATTTATATTGATATTCTATTACGAGAATACCCAACTTGGGGGAAGAGGTTCATATTCAAATTTGAGGCGACTGATTATGTCATACAAACGGGGTCGACGGTTTACAAATGCACGAAAATTATTGAGGATCCCATACTTATTAAAAAGGTTGAGAATGTTGTTTGTCCTGTAGAGGTTTGCCCTAAATTTGTTGATGTATATATTCCATATAAAATATGTATTTCCTATTTTTACTATATTTCAGTTAGTTAATTTTTTAATGGTATTATTGAAAACTTAGATTGAAGATGATAACAGTATCACCAATCTTGATGCATCTGATGTGCTTATTTCACGGTCTGTTTCCTCAAACATGCCCAAGGTTTGTCAACTTATGCAATTTCAGATATCTCAATCATTTTATAATACGTGTGTTGTTTGATTTGCATTAATCCAATAAACAGGTGACTGGTTCAAGCTCTGTTGCAACTGAATATGATCAAGACGATGAACCTATCACTCCTGTTAATTCTATTCAAAAGCGGAAAGTTGTTGAGATTGACATCGACGATCAAGAACATCAGGCTTCAACTAATAAAAAGCATGTCTAATCTGTCGATTTTAATGCTTTTATTTACTTCTTTGGGGATAATTCTTACAGCTTTTACATAAACGAATTATTATCTTTTTCTTTGATGGTTTTTTATTTCGTACTTTTTTGGTTCCGTCATTCTGTACAGACTATTTTTCGTTTAATAAAATATTTATACATTCTCTCTAAACAGATGTTAAACATTACAATTTATTCAATTCAATCTGAATATTTAAATATTAATTGTAATTTAATATTAAATTGTTATAATAGTCTTCTCGATTATTCTGAAATAAATTAAAGCTAAACATAATCAAATCATCCTATACATGTTAGACATAAAATTTTTTATTGTCATCATTATAAGCATGTAAGGATTTGATATATTCTTTGTTTTCCTATTAGTAAGATTCACGTACTGTCACATAATGTATAAAAAATTACAATGATTAATAGTTCATCATAATAGCAGAATCAAATCAAAACGAAATCAAAAAATTGACGATTGTGCATAATTTAGATTGTCTTCTAATTCCTTTGTAAACAGCCAAAAAATCAGGTACTTCCTAAAATAGTTGAAAAACAATTATAATCTTACTAAAGGTATTTTTTATCATGCTAAACAAGTAAATAATAAGAAGTAACTGTATATTACTTCTAATTATCACACACATGTTATGTTGAGTTATGTCAGATTCACTAACTATATATTAATTCAAACAAATGACCAAATGAAAAAAAATGCTTCTTAAAAAAAAATTAATAGAAAAAAAAAACACATCATTACGTTGACTACTTTTCTGGTAGTGTGTTTGCATTCTATTAAAATTCTGATACTGCACATCATCTACAACACGCAAAACATCATTTTCATAATTAAATGGATTTATCAACACCATAAATTTTTTAACTGCCCAACACTATTCTGGATACATTTGATGTGCCTATTTCGCAGTCTGTTTCCTCAAACATCCCCAAGGTTTGTCATGTTATGCAATTTCGGATATCTCAATCATTTTATAATACGTGTGTTGTTTGACTTGCATTAATCCAATAAACAGGTGACTGGTTCAAGTTCTGTTGGAACTGAATATGATCAAGACGATGATCCTATCACTCCTGTTAGTTCTATTCAAAAGCGGAAAGTTGTTGAGACTGACATCGACGATCAAGAACATCAGGTTTCAACTAATAAAAAACATGTCTAATCTGTCGATTTTAATGCTTTTATTTACTTCTTTGGGGATAATTCTTACAGCTTTTACATAAACAAATTATTATCTTTTTCTTTGATCGTTTTTTATTTTGTACTTTTTTGGTTCCGTCTTTCTGTACGTACTATTTTTCGTTTAATAAAATATTTATACATTCTCTCTATACAGATGTTAAACATTACAATTTATTCAATTCAATCTGGATATTTAAATATTAATTGTAATTTAATATTAAATTGTTATAATAGTCTTCTCGATTATTCCGAAATACATTAAAGCTAAACATAATCAAATCATCCTATATATGTTAGAAATAAAATTTTGTATTGTCATCATTAGAAGCATGTAAGGCTTTGAAATATTCTTCGTGTCCTATTAGTAAGATTCACGTACTGTCACATAATGTATAAAAAATTACAATGATTAATAGTTCATCATAATAGCAGAATCAAATCAAAATGAAATCAAAAAATTGTCGATTGTGCATAATTTAGATTGTCTTCTAATTCCTTTGTAAACAGCCAAAAAATCATGTACTTCCTAAAATAGTTGAAAAACAATTATAATCTTACTAAAAGTATTTTTTTATCATGCTAAACAAGTAAATAATAAGAAGTAACTGTATATTACTTCTAATTATCACACACATGTTACGTTGAGTTATGTAAGATTCACTGACTATATATTAATTGAAACAAATGACCAAGTAAAAAAAAATGCTACTTAAAAAACAAAAAATTAATAGAAAAAAAAAACACATCATTATGTTGACTACTAGTCTGGTAGTGTGTTTGCACTCTATTAAAATTCTGATACTGCACATAATCTAAAACACGCAAAACATCATTTCCGTAACTAAATGGACTTATCAACACCATAAATTTTTTAACTGCCAAACAATATATCCATCCACTCATTTCCTCCGAACTAATATATATATCAATAATTCTCTCTACTCCATTCTCAGTTTCTTCTAGATTTCAAACAAAGGTGTTTAGATCTTTCTTTCTTTTCTCTCTTTCTTTTCTCCTCCATTCTGCCTGTTATAATCCCTTGCATGCGTTTTGAAGAAAAATAACCAAGGGGAGTAATATTTGTTCTTTCTCGAGATCAGGTAATATAAAATTTGCTTTTTTCTTTCTTTGTTTTTTTTTTTTTTTTGGTATCTACTTTATTGATCTTCCTTACAAATACAACAAAAATACACTTTGTTGTATGTAGATTACTTCTGTACAACTATAATATACATTACTATGGATTATGTACATTAATCAGTTTATCATCTACTGTTAGTTTGCAATCTTTAAATATAGAAAATATATACAATTTGTAAGCTATTATGTTACCCTTTTTATTCGTATAAATATAATTTTAATTATTGCTGCTCTGTTTTTTTTTTTTCCATATAACATGATCTTAATTAAAAAAAAATGTCGTACGACTTGGGGTTCTTATACACCGTTCCAAAAGACTACGAATTGCTTGGTTTTGTAAGACATCTTACCCTTTGTTAAATTAATGTATCAGTTTGTGTATATTGTTTTTTAGTTGTTATAACAAAATTTAAATATCCAAATTTTATTATTATTATTATTATTATTATTATTATTTTTTGCATTTTAGCTTCTCACGTCTAGGTTGCGTGATTGCTTCAGTGGATATGTCCCGAAAAAAATTAAACTGGTTACTCCAGTAGGCAAATTTGAAGTATTAATTTCCGAAGCTGCAAATGGTGAGATTTTTATGTTTGGGAATAAATTCTTAAAATTTGCAAATGAAGTTCAAATCGGTCCATGGTGTCGGGTTCATTTTTATTATAACGGAACTGATAACATCATATGCATGCCTTTTAGATATGATGGGACTCAATCTATTCCATACAAGCCATACACTCCTTTTGGAGTTCAATGCATATTCAAATTGGAACCTCGTACTGCTGATTACTTCACTGTAAGTGTTTCCATTCTTCCATCATTTTTTTACTTAAAAATTAAATTATATCTCATGAATTTAATTTGACATCAGATGAGTTAGTACCAATTATGTATATATTTATTTTTTTGTCTAAGTTGTGTCTACTGAATTCATCAATGTACTTACAATGCCTCATACATCGGTTCTGACTGTTGAATTTGGAGAAGAAGAATATAATTTTGAATGGTTTACCAATGAGAATGGTTTTAGTGGTGTCATGTGGCTTATTTTTATAATTGGTCATCATTTCACTTTGAAGAATACATTCCGGCTTGCCTATAAGCATGAGACCACGTTTGTGCTGGATGTTTTTGATGAAAATAACTTTGATGTCCATGCTCTTGGTCGTCCATGGAATTCGGCCCCAGCTTCTTAATAGAGTAAGTACTTAAATTAATCTTTTTATTTATTATGTTATTTCTTTATTTATTTCAACATAAACTCACTTAATATATTTCTTAATTCTATAATTGTCTATTCTTCAGGTTCTGAAGATGAATCTTATTTTTACCCGTGGTTGGAATCTATGTAACATAGTTTTTCGTTTATGCATGTTATGCCTTTTATCTTGGGGTTACAAACAATTATGAATTATTATGGTTGTATTTTGAATATGATGTAACTTCTAATTATGGTTCATTATATATGAAGTACATTTTAAATTAGATTCTACAACCCAATCCCTTTAAATTATTTCATATTGATAAAATTTGTTCCATTTTGTTGATACTAATTTTTTTCCCGTTGTTTTATAATGATAAGAGTTTGTTGCAACTTTTTCGTCATCACATCAAATTTATGCCTAATTATCATTTGTATATAAACCAAAAAATGGGACAAAAATTCACTTCGCATATCGATCATAACAATTTGAAGTGACAGTTGTTAAATTTTTCCAAATCTGTTTAGTTTATGCAATCAATTCAAATATATAAAATAATGAAATGATAATATTACTTTTACTTCTGTTACACAACTGCATATATATCCTAAAGTGAAAATTAAAGATGAAAACTAAAAAAAAAAAGCTCTTGAATACATCGACTACTTTTTTTTAGTTCAGAACCCACTGTCTATTCCATTTAATCTCTGCAAACTAGCCCTCACACTATAACACGCAATAATCATTTCATGAATTAAATACACTTAACTACTACATAAAGTTATAACTCTCCCTAAAAAAATTCATCATCATTTTTTTCTTGACTAAAATACACAAACTCCAGTTACTTCATTCGCACTGTTTTTTGTTCAGAATTCTAGCTTTTGTATTCATATGATTTTAGTTTGACAGGAAATATATGTTACCTTTAATAAACACTGACTTCAACTTGTGATATATATGGGAATTATTATTTTAAAGAGAATCGTATATTTTTCCAGGATTATTTCAAACAACCCATCCCTATCAAACAATAAAACCTATCAGTAATATTGACGTGGTAATTCAAACTAAATATGAATTGTTATCTCTTCAAACAATTTCAAAGTATCTATATATGGAGTTAATTATGGCGTTAAACCGATTCCTCATCTATTCATGAGTTATTCTCTCTATCATTATCTCTTACATTTAAATATTTTTAAAAGGTAATAAAATTAAATTTACCCATTTTTCTCTGGACATTTATTAGTTTACAAATATATATATATATATACAATGTTTCTAAACCTCCTATTTATTTTAAAAAAGTAATGTTTATGAATACACTTCTTCTTTACAAAATAAGATTGCTAATTTTCACCTTTTTTTTTAACTCCATACATAAAAGACTGCTCAAATTATGGCCACTTCACAGAACTTTATGAACTGGTAAAGGAATATATGATGCACGGACCTTGTGGCTTAGCAAATCCTAACTACCCGTGCATGGAAAAGGGAATATGCACTAAGGGTTTTCCAAAGAAATATTTGAATTCGAGTCACATCGATAAGCAAGGATTTCCTGAGTATATGAGAAGGGACAACGGTATCAAAGTGATGAAGAGTGAGACTGCATTGGATAATTCTATCGTTGTCCCTTATAACAAGAAGCTTTTGAAAATGTTTCAAGTACATATCAATGTGGAGTGGTGCAACCAAACAGCAGCAATCAAATATCTGTTCAAGTATATAAACAAGGGACCAGACAAGATTGGAATTCAGTTCAAGGCTGGTGATGCAACTAATCCGGGTCGACCCATTAATGAGATAAATCAACACTGTGATTGTAGATATATTTCTGCATGTGAAGCAATATGGAGAATTTATGGGTTTCCTATTCATTACAGATCTATCCCCGTTGAGAGATTGCCCTTCCATCTTCTTGAAGAACATTATGTTATGTTCAAGGAAACAGATAGTATTATAGGTACTTTGGAAAAACCCGGTAACAATGCGCTTAAGTTTGCTGGTTGGATGGAGTGTAACAGGAAATATGAAGAAGCCAGACGTCTGACATATGAGGAATTTCCTAGCAAATTTGTATGGAACAAGAAGAAGAAAGAATGGCTACCTAGGAAACAAGGTGTCTCAATAGGACGTATTCACCATGTGTCTCTATTCCAAGGTGAAATTTACTACTTGAGGACTTTGCTTAGTAAAATTACGGGACCAACGTGTTATGAAGACATCAAAACAGTGAATGGTAAACTCTATGATACATTCAGGGATGCATGCGACGCTTTGGGTTTTTTCCAAGAAGATTCTGAGTTTATTGGTACTATTGAAGAATCTGCACGGATAAACACATCATCGACTCTCAGGGAACTTTATGCAAGGCTTATACAAACAAAAACTGTCAAGAAATATAAACATGTTTGGGAGAAGACATGGCAACTAATGACTGATGATATTCAGTACAAGCGACAATTGATATTTGGACGCACTTCATGTAAGTTTATGGGTTTATATAACTTTTTATGCTTAAAAAATACATGCATTTTTTAATACAATTAAACATATATATATATATATATTTCATTTTATTATAAATATTTTATATTTTTGTTTGTTACTTATTTTGATTTATCATGATTTT